AGGCTATTCCAAATCCCAGCCAAGCTATTAGTGCACTATTTATGGAATAAAAGTGTAAAAATAATTTGGTGAAGTGTAAGTGGGTATAAAACTGAACAATATATGTAGAAAGTCAATATTAATTGAAAAATTTCATGATTTAAATTTATTTTTCGACATTAACATTCCAAGATTTCGGAAATAAAAAAGGTATGGGCTGATAGAGCAGGTCCTTAAGAAAAATAATTTAGATATATCGGGAAACTTATAGTTTTCGAGAGATTTACGTTTAAAATTGAAAATTTCATCTATTTAAAGAGATTGCCTTTAGTATACCCTCCCACGATTTCAGAGTTAAGGGGGGTATGGTTGGATAGAGGAGATTCTCCAGATCACGAATATAATTATAGCCGCCGGAAACTTATAGTTTTCGAGATATTTGCATGTTAAGTTGAAAATTTAACAAATTTTATTTTACAATTTCTCGATTTATGGTTAACTTTTTTCTATTATATTATGCACTTATTATACACTAACACTTCACTACAATGTTTCTACATATTTATTTTATATTAATTATTTTAATATATATTTTAACTAAACATTTTAATTTCACACAATTTTTGTTATATTTTTGATATACTCTCTTTAACATTACTTTTTTTGGGTTAGATTTCTTATTTGCATTGGCGGCCTTCGGCCGCGCTTCAAAAAAATACCCCTGGCCGATCCAACACCAGGGTGGTCGTTATTCCTTTCGTGTTCAACTTCTTTCTGAACTGGCGGCCTTTGGCCGCGCTTCAAAAAAATAGCCCTGGCGGATCCAACCCCGGGGTGGTCATTATTCCTTTCGCGTCCAACTTCTTTCTTCACTGGCGGCCTCCCCCTGCGGGTAGGGGTAAGAATTTACCCGCGGTAAGGCATGCCTGTCGTAAGAGGCGACTAAAGCCAATATGCACTATGACTGATATTATGTACCTTGCTCAGTAATATCAGCATAGTATGTCAGAAATAGTGCTATAATACTCAGCTTGAACTGATATTATAGACTTTAAATGAAAAAGCAAATAAAAAGACATTTGAAGTTCAAGCGACAAATGTCACCAGTCATTGAGTAATGGGTTGCTCAACTGGCAGTACTACACAGTCTTACCAGAGACTTTCTGGTACCACGGGGAGCAGAAAGCCCTTGGATTCGTGGTGGCTGTGGTTGAAACCTAAATGCAGGAAGAACTGAAAATTCAGCCTAACTGTTCTTTCAGTTCTTAAATATAGTTGCAAAAAGCAACTGGGTTCCGTACCCGAAAACGGAAGAGGTTTTAGGTCGGCCTCGAATCATACCAAGATGGTAGTGTGGACCCAGGCACACTGCTTGCTACTGGTATCCAAATAAATACTTGCAAATTGCTCGTATTGTTTGGGGCGCTTATCAACGCATTGTATTGATACGCTGTGTTTTGGAACACCTGGTGTTGGATCGGCCAGGGTTATTTTGTTGAAGCGTGGCCGAAGGCCGCCAATGCAAATAAGAAATCTAACCAAAAAAAAAGTAATGTTAAAGAGGGTATATCAAAAATATAACAAAAATCGTGTGAAATTAAAATGTTTAGTTAAAATATATATATAAAGTGAAAATGAAAATATCTCGAAAACTATACGTTTCCGGCTGCAATAGTTATATATATTCGTGATCTGGAGAATCTCCTCTCTCCAATCATACCCCTCCTAACCCTGAAAGCGTGGGATGGTATATTAAAGTTTCCCCATTTAAAGTACGTATTTTATCGATTTAAAATGAATTATACACTTAGATTTTTCACTTTTATAACCACTAACAATTCACTTATTCATTTTAGACATTTATTTTATATTATATAGTGCAAAAATAGCTTTAATAAACCTTTTGTAAAGAGCATTTCATTTCCTACCTCATCTATTTGTAGGCCCAGGAAACGTGCTGTTTCGACGGGGACGGATCATAGGGAGCGGTGTTTTAGATTAGATGGAATCGATGGCATGTGCTCAAAAGTAAACAGCTACCTCTCCGATCCTTCTCGCTTCTTCTCTGCAAGGAGTCTGACACTCTCCCCCACTAAATCCACAGCGACCATATTCACAAATTGGACGAAGGATTACAGACTGGACCGGAACATTTCAGTCGATGTAACAACGGACAGTCTGTGCTCTTTCACTCCTCACACGACCGCGATAACTGCCAAAGTACAGAGCCGCAACAAAATCCTCACATCGCTTGCCGGCAGCTCTTGGGGAAAAAACAAAGAAACGTTGTTGGCACAATACAAGGTAATCAGCCGGCCGGTCCTAAACTATGCATCACCAACATGGCCGCCTGGATGTAGTGCAACGCAGACGAAGAAGCTTCAGACTTGTCAGAACACTGCACTCCGGACTATCACGGGAAGCCTCTTGATGTCCCCCATAGAACACCTGCACAGTGAGGCCCTCATGCTTCCGGTTAAGGTACATAACGAGCTCTTCTCCAAGCAGTTTCGTAGAAATCACCATTGCAGTCGTCTGCTTGAAGCGGAACCGCCTCCCAGGAACATCAAGAGGTCATTCCTTGATTCCGTCGACATCAGACAGTACGCCGACCGGATGCAACGAACTACAGACAAGCACTGACCGCCATTCACAGTGGAGCCAATAACACCTTCATCAACTCCCTTTCAGTGAATGGCGTACTAGGAGTCAAACCACCGCCCATAGCAGACGTAGAGCTCGAGTTGCCTCGCGAAACCAGAGGGACCCTCGCGCAACTTCGTTCTGTATATTGTAGCAGGTTAAACTCCTACTTATCCAGAATAGACCCCGACATTGTAAACATATGTCCTGCGTGCAATGAGGCTCCGCATGATACTAACCACCTCTTTGCATGCCCAACACATCTCACCCATCTAACACCCTTTTCCCTATGGTCCGACCCCGTCGAAACAGCCTGTTTCTTGGGCCTTCCGTTTTCGTTTCTACGAAAATACCCCAGTAGAGGAGAGGAGTTCGTTGTGTTCCTTAACCGGAAGCATACGGGCCTCAGTGTGGAGATGTTCGATTGGGGACATCAAGAGACATCCCGTGATAGTCCGGAGTGCAGTGTTCTGACAGGTTTGGAGTTTCTTCGTCTGCGTAGCACTACATCCAGGCGACCTAATTGGGGCCGCATAGTTTAGGACCGGCCGGCCGATTGCCTTGTATGTCGCCAGCATCATTTCTTTGTTATTTTTCTGTGAAGGAGCAAAGACTGTCTTATGTAACGCCTAAAATTTTAGGGTTGTTTACGTTCGGAATTTTGGTACCATCGACTGAAATGTTTAGATCTAGTCTGTACTCCTTCTTTCAGTTCGTAAATACGGTCGCTGGGGATTTAGTGGGGAAGAGTGTCAGACTCATTGCAGAGAAGAAGCGAGAAAGATCGGAGAGATCGCTGATTACTTTTGAGCACATGCTATCGATTCCATTGCCCGACGTCAATATCGTGCAGTCATCAGCGTACGAGGTCACGGAAATTCCCTCTGGTGGTTGGGGGAGTTTCGAGATGTAGAAGTTAAACAGTAAAGGGGAGAGGACACCACCCTGCGGAACCCCTCCTAATTCTTCTCAGTTTGGAGTTTTGACTTCGAAACAGTACGGATGAATGCAGACCGCTCAGGTACTTCATGGTCCACCGCTTCTGCCCTGGAAGGAGCGTAGATTGTTCGATGTCCTCAAGTAGCGTTGTGTGGTTCACTGTGTCGAAGGCTTCGACAAGTCCAACGCTACGAGGATCGTCCTCTCGCAGGGTGGCTTCTGGTTTAAGCCATGGGCGTTTATGACGCTAAGTGCTGTGGTGGTGCTGTGCACTTTCCGGAAGCCATGCTGATGTTCTGCTAGGCTAAGATGGTGAGTGAACGTCGGGCGTAACAAGGCCTCAAGTGTCTTCACTACTAGGGAAAGGAGAGTTATCGGGCGATAAGACTCCCCTTTGTTGGCGGGTTTCCCAGGCTACAGTAGTGGGACCACTCTTCCGACTTTCCACACATCGGGTATTTGAAGAGTGGCCATCGACAAGTTGAGGACCTTGGTGAGGTAGTTTACTCCCGTCGAGCCCAGATGTTTTAGCATCAGCATGATTATGCCGTCAAGGCCAATGGATTTAGACGATTTGGCAAATTAAGGCGGAGTTCCGCGATTCTTCAGGACGGTATGAAGCGAGCAGTAGCAGCAGCGATCACCTTGCGGAATTGACGCTCGCCAACGATGACGTCCGTAGGAATGGGTAGTGCGTTGAAGGTGCTCTCGGTAAATTCTGTGAAGCCGACCCAGTTAGCTTTGTTAAAGTTAACAAAAGTGCGGTTGTCCACAGAAATAAAGTCGGGAGGTTTCTCGATCGAAATAATTATGGGGTTGGTCAGATTAGGAGACATGCTGTCTGTGTGAGCTCCTTAGGGCCGTGAAGGTCCTATCTTTGCCACTCGACTGGACGATTTGTGTGTGCGCGAACAAGATGCAGGTTGCACAGCCGTTGAGGCAGATGTCGCAGTATTGCGTTGACAGCATGGGGCCACGTAACTCGTGGTCCACTCCCTGTGTGTCTTAAGGCCTGAGCAGGTCTTAAGATGGCTCCATCCATTGCATGTATTGCACCTAACCGAGGTGGAGTTTGGATGGAGCCTTCTAGCTCAAACGTAGCAGTAAAATTCCTCGGGGCCCGGGTTGGACTCGATGCCAGCACGGGTCAGGAGGATACGGAGCAACCCTGCTGCTAGGCGTTGCTCCAATGACGACAAACTTAATGTAAAACTCACCGATCCAAACAGGGTTAGATCGCCGAAATAACAGCCCTTGGCCGGATAAAATCCGGGTCAATTCCGGTACCGCAGAACCGGCTGTTGTGGGAATTGTAGTTCCAGCATTACTTCCAGTGCTTTAGTCGAACACGTACGCATCGCGCCCGACGCTCAGATGCAGGCAAGTCGTTGCAGCTTCGATAGTTGAAGTCTTACCGAAGTCTGCGATGCTTTGAAAACCCAAGCCACCGCTCCATATGTTATGATCGGTCTTACAATCATGGTGTACAACCATCTGACAATCCTTGGGTTGCAGCCCCATGATTTCCCAACAAGTCGATTGCACACCATGAGCGCTTTCGTAGTTTTGGCTAAGGTCAGGTCAACATGCTGCTTTCACCGTAGAGTGGAATCCAGCGTGAGGCCTAGGTACTTAACCGTGCTAGCCATCTGCAGCTCCCTGCCGCCTACGGATAGGTTTCTGAGGCGTGGCAGTAACATGCGCCTGGTAAACGGTATGATTGTAGTTTTAGAGGGGTTGATGCTTAAGTCAACCCCACTACACCGCCCCTTTGCTAGCCCCACTCCCCTTTGTACAATATCGCAGTCTACGAACTTACAATATTATCCAAATATCCCTGACAGCGGATTCCATTGCTAGTTAGCAGCTCCAGGAGATCGCCCACAACTAGGCTTCAAAGTAGGGGGGATAGCACTCCACCCTGTGGACAGCTCCTTGTTGTGCCAAGACGAATTCTGGTATCGCTTACTGTGGTTTCCGCTATCCTGGTGCGCAGTACGGCTTTAATCCATCTGAGTACCGGTGCTGCCACATTCCTTTTCTCTAGTGCTCTTGACACGCTTTCGTGAGATGTATTGTCAAAAGCCCCTTCGATGTCTAGGAAGGCGCATAAGAACATCTCACCCCCTCTCACCGAACTTCGGATCTCTGAGGTTAGCTGATACAGAGCAGTATTGGTTGACCGGCCTGCTCTGTAAGCATGTTGCTTTGCATGTAGCGTTGCAGTCCTCAGTACCTTCGATCTTATATCATGATCAATGATCTTTTCCATACTCTTAAGTAGGAAGGAAGTTAGACTAATTGGCCTGAAGGATTTTGCCAACGAGTAGTCTTTCCTTTCTACCAGACGAACAAGGTGGGGCAGTAGGACCTGCTACCCCTGTTGCAGAAATGCTGGAAGGATGCCATCCGCACCCGGGGACTTATATTTTTCGAAGGAGGCTACAGCCCACTTGATAGAGTCCGCTGTGAAGAGCTGTTTTGCGACTGTCCAATCTAAGCGTGATGGCTTTCGTTCGACCATAGGTCGATTTTGGTCCTCTCGAATTGCCTCCGGGAAGTGCGCTAGTAGAACAGCCGTGGCTTATCCTCTGCGCCAGACGTATAGGTCCCATCCGATCGTTTAACTGCTAGTACTGTGTCCGTCTTGCCTCTGGCCAGAGCCTTATGCAGCCTTGCAGCTTCTGGCGTCGAGAAGACGCTTTCACAGAACTTTCTGAAGCTCTTTTGTTTTGCTGACCGAATATCCTTGTTGTAAGCAGTTAGGCTGTACTTGTAATTCTCCCAGTTTCCGGTACGCTTGGCTTTGTTAAATAGCTAACGTACCGTTTTTCGTAGTTCTGAAAGCCTACTTGACCACCAGGAACAACCTCGGTTCTTGGTGGTCGTCTTTAGAGGGCAGCTGCCGTTATGTGCCTCTATAATGGACTGGTTTAGCGCAGACAATCTGCTCTCCATTCTAGAAGCAGTGGCACTGCCGTCCAGCTGCCCCCTCCCATTTACATTTATTTCAAGCGTATCCCTAAAAGTGGCCCAGTCCGTGTTTCTGGGGATACGCCTGGGAGGGAGTTGTTTGACCTCTATCCCTAGTTTAAATCTTATGATACGATGATCTGACATGGAGGGTTCTGATGACACCCTCCATTGCCCGATCAGCCCCGACGTAAGTTCGTTACCAAGAGTGATGTCAAGCACCTACCTTGGCGTCGCATCCTAGAACGAGGGGCATGTTATTCCTCCTGCAGTCATCCACCAGTTTACTGACAGCCTCTGGAGTGCTATCTGTGCGTCCCCCGGAAAGTAGGCCGCTGCCAGGACGAAGTCTGCTCCTTCGTTGCTTTTATCCTGCACAGGGACCAGGTCTTGTGTTAAGAACTCCGAAAAGCAAAGTAAATCAATATCGTTCCTGACTACTATACAGGTTCTAGGTTTCTCACTATATAGATCCCAGATTACCTTATTTGACTCCATTTTGAGGCCTCTACCTCTTCTTTGTATATCCAGGGCTCCTGGATCAGTAGTATACCCAGACCATCCGCTGTGAACCTGCTCACGATGACAGCCGAAGCCGACGCCGCGTGGTGCAGGTTCACCTGGGCAACTTCCGTATGTGGACCCACTACAGGATCGGATCTACGAGGGGCTGGTCCTCATCTTCGCCGCCCACCGCGTTGCCACCCGCTAGGTCCTTGAGTCCCTCGAGAAGCTCTTGCATGGAGGAAAGCACCCCCTCCCCTTGTTCGCTAGCCTTCTCAGTGGAGACCTTCACCGTGGTCTCGGCAGTTGCCTCCTGCTCCGACGATTTCGGTGGTCGTCTTTGGTTTGTACGGCCTCATGAGAACCGAGCTGAGTCTATAGTTCAGGCGGAAGCTTTGCCTCCTGACTAATGTGTAGGACTCATCATCTATGCAGATTGAGACTCCACCCGGAATCCTCGACATTGCTAGTGACTACTCGCCAGGCCGATATACTAAGCCCCTCGTTCTGATTTTCAATCAGAGCGAGAGCAAACTCGTCCGGCTTGCCTGCGCACCTGGGAAGGGACACCGTCATGCTATGCATGGGCGGTATGTCGTCTCCCTTCTTTGCACAGAGGACGGGGCCATTCCAGCCTGCCAGCTTGGGAGCGATCTCCCTCAGCCAGCTTGCTGACTTCTCGTCCTTGCAGGCAACCTGCAGCATGCCTCCCTTGAAATATACATTATGGAACTAGGCTTTGTATCCAGACCCTCTGAATACCTCCTCCATGAGTAGGTCTTGGAGCACGGTGAGCTCCTCCGACCCCAGCGTCGCCGCCGGGTAGTTCAGAGGCAGCACAGCTATACAAATGCCTTTAAGGGCATCCGCATATCTGCGCAGTCCGTTTACCGCTCGGGGAGGGTTCGGGGCGGAGTGGTTGCCTCCGGTCAGCTGCGCATTGTTGCCTCTCTGTCGCTTTGTGTTAGGCGGCTCCTCTGGCGTCGGCTGCCCACTCTTGCGCTTCGCGGTTTGGGTGGTTGTTGAAGTCGTTGCCCTTTCGCAACCCCGCCTCGCGGCCTGAGTTGCGTTAACCGGGCGTTGGCTTCGATCTCCGCTGCTCCGTTTGTTTCTAGACGCGGTATTGCCACCCTTCCGCTTCTCCGAGGCAGGGGAGGCACTGTTTCCTCTCACCCTGTTATGCGCCAACTTTTCTGCTTCCTCCAAAATTCTTCCGTTTTTGAGGTGCCTCAGGTACCGTTTGAGGCTGGCACCGCTCATGCCTCTTCTCCTGGGATCATCCTGGCCGCCAGGACTCCCAGCTGGTGGTAGAGGGGCTAGTCTGCCTCCCCTCTTCCGTTTATTTTTGCGAGCTCCCTCGGTCGATACCCTTTGTGACTAACCCGAATCCGAGCAGTTAATCCTGCTCGAGGGAGCCTCGATGGGGTTCGCTTAATCAGCACCGGTCGCAGTCACTCTCCTGCTGAGCGCCGCTGCACGAGGGCATGTCGTCGTCATCATCTCTCGCATGCTCCTCGAACAGCGCTCGCTTTTCTGGCGAAAGAGCGGAAGAGGAAGCTGAACTTTCGTTTAGTCCCTGAGTCCCCCTTTCCTGCGCTGGTGCTTGTCTTGTCACCGTTTTTGTTGCCTTGATTCGTTGGTTGTTATTGTTGTTGTTGTTTTAGGTTGTTGTTGTGTTAGGTTGTTTCATCTTGTTCGTACGACTTAAGGCTCGACAAGGCACGCTGTAGGGTCAGCATTTGTTCAGGGGAACACAAAGTCCGCCGCGCCAGAGGCCCATGACGCGGTAAGGCCACCGTTAATTCCCAATGCGGCCCGGTGTTGGGAAGACTACGTTTGACTACAGCGGAATTTACCTCCTGGCTGCAAATCATCCAATCGGCACGGGAGTGGCATAACACCCTGAATTAGGAGGTGGTAGCTCTTTGTTGTCGCACGCTTCCATCTTCGGTGTGAGAGGTGCTAGCCTGTGATGCACACTTATGGAATGTACTTGAGTGATATGCGCCGGGGGCAAGGATAGGGAGTATAGAATAGTGAGTTCAAACCGGTGCAGTATTATTTTGTTATTTCACCCCCTCCACGGGTACTGCAGCAGCAACAACCTGTACACTATCGACCGAAGGGTACTACCTACCTAGAACAATAACCACCTACCTGCTCCGACAACAGTCGGGTCTACATAACTGGAACCGAGCCGGCTTTTTGTCCGGCCGAGTTCTGTCAACTCAGCAGAATTCTGCCGCTGTAACAACAGCAACAACAACCTAGAATGTCTAGGCAAAGCTATCTGGTCAAACGATGTCGAGCTCGAAAGATTTGATATATATCTGTCGCTACAACAACAGCAACAACAACCTAGAATGTCGAGGCAAAGCTATCTGGTCAAACGATGTCGAGCTCGGAATATTCGATATATACAATACATCCCCTCAGGTACATGTTGCCCAACAGGATATCAATCGAACATAGGTGCGCTGCTTCGTGGTGAAAACCTTTTGGTGCTAGGGTGCGCACCATGATCTTTGGCACTCCTTCCTGTCAAACCTTCGTAGGGAAAGGGAGCTGGCGGAACCGAATGACGATTCGATTCGAATGACCAGAATTATGGGCACCTGTAATAGCTCGCCTGATATTACCATCGCTAGCAGTGATCTGATAAATAGCATAACCTGGCGACCTATGCTAAGACTCGCATCAGAACATTTGCCTATAATTATCTTGATCGAAAAACCTACAGACTTTATTTCTGTGGACAACCGCACCTTCATTAACTTTAACATAGCTAACTGGGTCGGCTTCACAGAATTTACTGAGAGCACCTTCAACGCACTACCCATTCATACGGACGTCATCGCGGGCGAGCGTCATTTTCGCAAGGTGATCGCTGCTGCTACTGCTCGCTTCATACCGGCTGGAAGAATCGCGGAACTCCGCCTTAATTTCCCAGCCGAAGCAGCTCTACTAGCAAACGAGCGTGACACCTTACGCCATACCGATCACTGTGATCCCGGAATAAGGGATCTCAATTTAGAGATTCGGCAAATGGTAAACCATCATAAGCGGACAAAATGGATAGAGCACCTGAAGTCCTGCAACTTCTTCACTGGTGTAAGTAAGTTTTGGACAACTGTCAAGGCCCTGTCTAATCCGAGGAAACATGACGACCGGGCTGAAATTCAATTCGATGGCCATGCCTCCTCGGACCCGAAGAAGTGCGCGAGCTATTTTAGCCGGCAATTTACACTGCACTCTTCGGCAGACAAGACCAAACGATGTGTTACCCGACTCCTGCACAAAATGCCAAAAGACCGCGCACCACTAACTTTCACCGGTGGCTGTCCAGAGTGCCATCAACAAGGCCAAATCGTCCAAATCCATTGGCCCTGACGGAATAAGCATGCTAATGCTAAAACACCTAGGCTCGACGACAGTAAGCTATCTCACCAGAGTCCTCAACGTGTCGATGACCACTCTTCAAATATCCGATGTGTGGAAAGTCGGAAGAGTGGTCCCATTACTGAAACCTGGGAAACCCGCCAACGAAGGGGAGTCTTATCGCCCGATAAATTTCCTTTACCCAGTAGTGAGGACACTTGAGGCTTTGCTACTCCCGACATTCACTCACCACCTGAGTCTAGCGGACCATCAGCATGGCTTTCACAAAGTGCACAGCAAAGCTGTCGGGCAATGGAATCGATGGCATGTGTTCGAAAGTAAACAGTTATCTCTCCGGCCTTCTCCCTTCTTCTCTGCAAGGAGTCTGACACTCTCCCTCACTAAATCCACAGCAACCATTTTACAGACTGGATCTGAACATTTCAGTCGATGGCACAAAAATTCCGACAGTCAATAACCCTAAAATTTTAGGCGTTACATTAGGCAGTCCGTTCCCACGACAGGCGGGTCTACGTAACCGGAAAGGACCCGGATTTATTCCGGCCTAGGACTGTTAACTCGGCAGAATTCTGTTGCTAGAACAACAACAACATTCTGCTCCTTTACCCCTCATACGACCGCGATGACTGCGAAGTACAGAGCCGCAACAAAAACCTCAAATCGCTTGCCGGCAGCTCTTGGGGAAAAGACAAAGAAACGTTGTTGGCAACATACAAGGCTATCGGCCGACCGGTCCTAAACTATGTATCACCAATATGGTCGCCTGAATGTAGTGCAATGCAGTGCACAGTGAGGCCCTTATGCTTCCGGTTGAGGAACATAACGAGCTGCTCTCCAAGCAGTTTCTGCTGGGATGTTATCGCAGTAATCACCCCTGCATTTGTCTGCTTGAAGCGGAACCGCCTCCCAGGAACATCAAGAGGTCATTCCTTGATTACGTCGACCGGACTTCGAACGCAACGAACTACAGACAAGTACTGACCGCCATTCACAGTGGAGCCATCAACACCGTTGCCTCGCGAAACCAGAGTGGCCCTCGCGCAACTTCGTTCTGGATATTGCAACAAGTTAAGCTCCAACTTATCCAGAATATACCCCGATATTCCAAACATATGTCTTGCGTGCAATGAGTCTCCGCATGATACTAACCACGTCTTTGCTTGCCCAACAAACCCAACTCATCTAACACCCTTTTCCCTATGGTCTGACCCCGTCGAAACAGCTTGGCCTCCCGTTAGATGACCTCGACGACAATCAAATTTAAACAACCTATGTTATCCCTCGCATCAGCGCATTATTATTTCGATCGAAAAGCCGCCGATTTTATTTCTACGGATCAGGATAAGCGGACGAAATAGGTTGTGCATCTAAAGTCTCTCCGCCGGTGAAAGCAACTTATGAACTACTGCGAAATCCCTGTCTTATTTCGAGGAGACATGACGAACGAGTTGAAATCCAATTCGATGGACATGCTTGCTTTGACCCGTACTGACATGTATATTGCACCCTTGGACGGACAGCTTGCTTTCGTCGATCGAAGAGGTTCAAGGTGTCATCTATAAAACAAAATCCCTTCATCTAGAAGGCATAAACCCGTTAGCCTTTATCACTTCTTTGCTGCAAGAGGCCTAAAACTTTTCTCCGCTTATTTCACAACAACAACAACCAATTGGGCGAAGGAGTACAGATTAGATCTCAACATTTTTGTCGGTGATGTTAAAGTTCCGACAGTAAACAACTCCAAAATAGTGGGTGCTACGTTTGCAATAAGATCCTTAAGTCACTAGCCGGCAGCCCCTCGTGGAAGGACAGCTGCGGTCATAACCTACGCAGCACATAAAAGTTGGAACAGCGCGCTTCGAATTGTCTGCATATTTCTTGATGGCACCGTCGAACACCGTCCCTAGTGACAGTAAGCCAGGCACCTCCGGAATTGTCCACACCCTTTACAGAAGACGATTTCGTCCCACTAGGCGAAGGTGTCCCTCCCAAGGAACCGTCCACGTCAGTTTCGACCTGCTACCTTGCTCGTCCTTAGTTGAAGTTTTGTTATTATTAATTATAAGACCCACTCAACCAAGAAAACTGAGTTTTTAAAAATATATTTAAACTGATTATGAGAATTAATAATTTTTTCTCACTTTTGGATGCAACTCAACAGTTTTGATAGTTTAGGAGATAAGACACTTCAAAGTCAAATCATATCCCTGTATAAGTTATTTTTTTGGTATGCCATTTTACTTCCGAAAATAGTCGAATTCGAAACTTAGTTTTTCAAGTCTCCGGACATAGCACATTTGGACTTCAGTGCCTATAGCTAACTTTATGCCGAAAATACCGGTAAAACTCTGAGGTATATTCGTGAAATTAAGAATATTTTCCTAATAATAATATGCCCTTGAGTCCAAAGAGGGTAAAATCGGCTCAATAATTCTATTAGCCCTTTATACCCATATATATAAGAATTTCAAGTTTCCTGTTGCCTTTATACCATATATATCGGTCAATATGCAAGACACTTTAGCAAAATTAAGTGAACATATAATATTGGACGTATAACTGTCGAATACAGAAAAAGTTGATAAACGACTTGATCCAGCTACCATGTAAAACATTTGATGTTTCAAGCGGATTTATGCGGCATATGTCGTTCAGTGTGTGTGCTATCTTCATAAAATGACGTGGAAACATGTTCCCGAATGTACCATACTTGAGTAATGCCACAAATTAACGCAATCAGTCCAGACGTTCTACTAGATCAAATCGGTACAATATTGTGAATTCCGACTTTCTAGCTGAATTTAAGTCGGTTATGTTGGTCAATGTGGCTTAGCGCTGAACATAGATAGATTAATTTCGAGGTATGCACCGCGACCTATGGTCTATTGTGCCCTCCCCTAAATCATATCGTATCATCTAGGCCCAGCATGTTGATAAATTCCAAAATTCTGCTAGTGAGGCGATACAATCCCTGTGCGTCAACATGGATCCCAGGGCCTTGATTCTGCGTCTGCAGACTGCTGTGCAGTTCATCAGCAGATGTTCAGGGGTTTCCGGCTCTATGTAGCAGAACCGGCAGTTTGCAGAAGAAGCTATGCCCATGTTGAAGAGGTGCTTCTTAAGCCAGCAGTGGCCGGTGTAGAACGCGACAAGTAGCCGGAATTTGTTCCTTGGGAGATTAATTATGGTTTTGAACCGTTTGTGGTCGTAACCCCCCCATTAGCAGTCTGGCATGGTGCATGCCCTGAAGTTGTTGCCAATGTGTCTCCCTACATACTCTTCTCCCTACGGAGGAGCTCTTTGATTGTATGTGGACCAACCGCTATGAATGGTTCCGGTCCTATCATTTTTGTGGAGACCGCAGAGCGGGCCAACTCGTCAGCCAGTTCGTTTCCGGCTATACCCCTGTGGCCAGGCACCCAAATAAGGTGCACTCGGTTGTGTTCTGATAGGCTGTTCAGCCGTTCTATACACTCCAGCACTAGAAGAGATCTGACCTCATAGGCAGAGATCGCTCTTAGTGCCGCCTGGCTATCGCTAAGTATAGCAATACTTTTATTGTGATAGTTGCGTTGGAGGTTTATCCCTACACACCGACTTATAGCATAGACCTCGGCTTGGAAGATGCTCGGGAAACTTCCCATTGGAATGGAGAGTTTGGTGCTTGGCCCAGCGACCCCTGGACCAATCCCCTCCTCCGTTTTCGACCCGTCGGTGTACCACTTGATAGTGCTTTCCCGTAGCAGCAGATCCAGTGATGAATTATTCCATTCAGACTTGCTGCCGAGGGTAACTTTAAACTTCCTGTTGAAGTTTACTCCTTTGGTAATGCTATCCCTTGGAAGAAGGGCTAGTAGTATTTTCTCACTTAGCGCTTTCATCTGCTGGGATGAGATCACCTTCCCTTTGCCAGCTCCCTCTGATGTCATTTGGAGCAGAGTTCGTTTGGCTGTCTGTTTGATTACCAGATGTAGCGGTGAAAGGTCTAGCAAGACTTCCAGTGCTGCGGTTGGACACGTTCGCATTGCTCCCGACGCGCAGATTCAGGCAAGTCTTTGCAGCTTCGACAGTTTGAGTCCTACCGAAGTCTGCATTGTTTAGCAACCCACGATACCGCTCCATACGTGATAATCGGTCTCACAATCATGGTGTACATCCACCTGATTGTCCTTGGGGAGCACCCCCAGGATTTTCCAGCAAGTCGGTTGCACACCATGATTGCTTTTGTGGCTTTGGTTAAGGTCTGGTCCACGTGCTGCTTCCATCGTAGAGTGGAATCCAGCGTGAGGCCCAGATATTTGACCGTGTTGGCCAACTCCACCACTCTGCCGTCAAGGGATATACTTCTGAGGCCTGGCAGTGACCTCCGTCTGGTGAAGGGAATTATTGTAGTTTTGGAGGGGTTGATGTTTTAACCAACCCCGCTACACCATCCCTTTGCCAGTCCCAATCCCCTCTGTACGATATCGCAGAGTGTGTCTTCGAATTTTCCTCTAGCTAAGATAACAACGTCATCCGCATATCCCTGACAGCGGATTCCATTGCTAGTTAGCCGCTCAAGGAGATCATCCACAACTAGGCTCCAAAGTAGGGGGGATAGCACTCCACCCTGTGGACATCCTCTTGTTGTGCCCAGACGAATTTTAGTGTCATCTACTGCGGTTTCCGCTACCCTAGTGCGCAGTACGGCTTCAATCCATCTGCGCACTGGTGCTGCCACACTCCTTTTCTCCAGTGCTCTTGACACGCTTTCATGAGACGTATTGTCAAAGGCAATGTCAAGGAAGGCGCACACCATCACCTCGCCCCCATCTAACGAATTCTGGATATCTGAGGTTAGCTGGTACAGAGCAGTGTTTGTTGATCTGCCTGCTCTGTAGGCATGTTGTTTCGCATGAAGCGGTGAAGTCTTCAGCACCTTCGATCGTATTTCGTTGTCTATGATCTTTTGCATACTCTTAAGTAGGAAGGAAGTAAGACTGATTGGCCTAAATATTTCGCCAATGAGTAGTCCTTCCTACCTACTTTGAGTATAAAGATCACCCTTGCAGTGCGCCATGGTTCTGGGATATATGCCAGCGCAAGGCTATCCCTCATCAGCCGCACAAGGATACCATCCGCACCCGTTAACTTATATTTTTCAAAGGAGGCCAAAGCCCACTAGATGGAGTCTGCAGTGAAGAGCTGTTTTGCGACTACCCAGTCCAAGCGTGATGGCCTACTTTCGACCATAGGTCGGATATGGTCTTCTTGAATCGTCTCCGGGAAATGCGCGAGTAGAAGAGCCGTGGCTCTTTCTTCTGCGCTGGACGTATAGGTCCCATCGGATCTTTTGATCGCTAGTACTGTGTCCGTCTTACCCCTAGCCAGAGCCTTATGCAGCCTAGCTGCCTCTGGGGTTGAGGAGACGCTTTCACAGAACTTCGTGAAGCTCTTCTGCTTTGCAGTCCTAATCTCCTTATTATAAGCAGTTAGGCTGCATCTGTAATCCTCCCAGTTGCCGGTGCGCTTAGCCTTATTGAATAGCTTGCGCACCGTTTTCCTTAGCCCAGAGATTGCTAGACCACCATGAGCAGTTACGGCTCTTGGTGGTCGTCTTTAGGGGACAGCTGCTGTGATATGCCTCTAGAATGGATTGGTTTAGGGCAGACAGTCTGCTCTCCAATCCAGAAGCAGACGCACTTCTATCCAGCTGCACCTACTGCTAACATTTGTTAAAAGCGAGTCCGTAAAAGCGGCCCAGTCCGTGTTTCTAGGGATACGCTTGGGAGGGAGTAGTTTGACCTCCATCCCCAGTGCGAATCTTATGATACGGTGATCCGACATGGAGGGTTCCGATGACACCCTCCATTGTGAGATCAGCCCTGTCTCAGACTCGCTACTGAGAGTGATGTCAAGCACCTCCCTTCTAACACTAATTACAAAGGCGGGTTCGCACCCCACGTTTGCTATACTTAAATTCTTACTGACTATAAACTCAATGAGAGACTCACCTCGTGTCTTATTTATTTGTAAGATCAATTATTAAACTCAATGAAGTTCTAAATGCCTTACCGCTGGTGGGGGACAGAAAAAGACTTTATTGAGCTGAGAACTCATTCATTCTAATTTTATTTTATGAAATGTATGGCTTATATACTATTTACAAATCTTACTATCTAATTAAATGTATATATATGTATATGTGTATGTGGCATGCACACCACATAGGGTTGTTTTTAAGTACAACTCAATACATGTGTGTGTGTGTATGTCCGTATGTATGTAGCACATTGTTTATGCTACATGTTATGGAATTGTTTTTAAGTGCACAGTGCACTTGTGTAATCAATTGCCTAAATACACATATATCTTAGGTTACAAGTTTTATTTATGATTTTGTTTATGTATGTATGTAAATATATTTGGACATACATATTTATGATATGATAGTGGACTGTATTTATTCTTTCATATTTCTTATCTTATCTTATATTGTAAAATAATAAACTTAAATTTATTGCTGCACGCCGTATAAGTTGGCCCTTTTGGTCCCAACGCACATGTTCAATTTTGAACATTCTCCCGGGGCAAAAGTGACTCTTGGAAAAGTGACCGCGGCTTGTAATCGCTGCCTGGTTTTTAGTCGATAATAAATGATGATTGCTACTAGTACGCCGATTATAAAAAGCACCAATGATACGTGTCTAGTAACATGATGTATTTTGATTTCCTTTAATTCTATGTTTTCTTTCCTGATTTGTTTTACTATGTTTTGTAACTCCTTGATGTTCTTTAGACTTGTACTTAAGGTCTCTGGTTGGACAATTACTTGAGGGATGGGTACTTCATTTACTTCCATCATCGGTTGATTTACAGGTGCCTCAATTAACTTTTGCGTGTGATAATGTTGTGGAGCCGCAAGAATAACTCCCTTGTAGCGGCCAGTGCATCCTTCTCCTAATTCCATTATGCCCTTCGCTGGTATGTTGAAAAATTCTCTTGATTTGCTGCATTCTACGTCTATAGTTCCATCTGAAAATATATTGTAAAGCCAACTATTACCAGTTTGGAGTTTTATCCAATAGCTAGTCCAATGGCCCTTTTTGAAGAAACAGTTCTTTGTTGTCATGCCACGTAATACCGAGATTTCACATGACTGGTCTGAAGATGGATTCCATGGCCAGTTTCCTTTGCATATGTAATTGTTGTCTAAGCTTGTATCACACCTATTCAATTCTGCTTGTTGCAACAAAATGTATGCATCTAAACCGAAGTTGTAAATTAAGTAGCTTCCTTTTATTATTGGAACCATCATTTCTTCATCATGTTGAAAGGGAATTGGAATAACCCTGTATAACGTTGACGCCTCATGTGCAAATAATGGAATGGTTGTTTTGATCACTACTCTATTGTCTATTATAATTCCCTTTCCTCTCATTAGGTTGTATACATTTTTTAGTATTTCATCTTTTTGCGCTCCCATAAGTTTCAGTTTGGGTGGGAGTTCGCTTTTGATTTTCGATATTTCTTCACGCATTTGAGCTGGTCGTAAAAGTTGTGGGTTTAAATGCCCATGGTTAATATCAATTAATAAATTGATAATTGACGATTGAATATTTTCACATTCCGTTAATGTCATACCGAGTTGTGTAACCATCATTTGATAAATTAATGCCATTTTCTCGGCGTTTAGACTTTTTATTATTTCTGAATAGAATAAATTCAATTGTCCATTTATCTTTACGAAAGTTTCTCGTACTTCTTCTTGCGATTTCTTGATAATATTCAATGATTAATCAATTACAGACGTCTGTTTCTGGATTAATTGTTTCAAATTCTTTTCGTTGTCTAATAAATTAGTTAGGTCTTGCTCTAACTCCTTTCGATCATCTGCATCCATCGTTCCAAACAAAATGTGATGAATAGTTCCTATAAACTCAAACGGCGCTCGACGAGTCCTTTTTGGTTGTAGCAATAAATTATTATCCATTTCCAACGCATTGAATCTTTTCTCCAGTGCTGAATTAATCATTTCACAGCTTGATTCAAAATTGGTGAGAAGATGACATTGTTTTTTCAGTTTTGTGATATAATCGGCTATTCCTTTCATTTGATGAAAGTAAGGTTCCATGTTGTAATACACAACTAAATTCCACGTAGACCTTTCTATATCAACCATGCCAATTTCCTCCAGATATATTGCACTTTTGCTAGGTATCTCCTTTACACGAACATCTTCACCAATCATCGCTGCCATCGCTGTTTGCATTAGTAAAAGCATGCAAATTACTGCCGATGTTGTAGTTATTCTCCTGCTTCTACAAGTTTTTGAGTATTCTTGTTGGAAATTTTTCCTCTCTTCTTCCGAGTAGAGTGGACATATTTTACTGATAGGCCTTTTCACATCACTATCTTGTGTCTGAATGGTTACTACTCTCACCATTCCATCAGATCCTTTATGTATTTCAGTAATTTTTCCCATCGGCCATTTAGCTGGATGAGAAGTCTCGTTTTTTAGCAACACAATTTGTCCTTCTTTGATATTGCTCATCGGCTGTTTCCACTTGTACCTTTGTTGTAAAGTATGTAGATATTCCTCTTTCCAATTCTTCCAAAATTGATATCTCATTTTTTGTAGAAGATTCCATCTATCTAATGTCGTCAAATTTCCTTCTTGAAACGGTTCTGGCGCACTCACCAATGATCTTCCAATTAGAAAATGCCCTGGTGTAAGTATGCTGTTATCCTCGCAATCTTCTCCAGTAGTATAAAGTGGACGTGAATTTAAAACTGCTTCAATTTGTGTTAACAGCGTAGTCAACTCTTCATATGTGAGAGTATTATCTCCTATGATGCGCTTAAGGTGATATTTCATAGACTTAACACCTGCCTCCCAAATTCCTCCAAAGTGAGCACTTGCCGGGGGAATAAAATGCCACTTGATGCCTTCTTTTTCCATAATTGGGGCAATAATGCTGTTGTTTGCAATAGCTAGTTTCAAGTCTTTGTCCAAACACCTAGCTGCTCCCACAAAGTTTGTGCC